TAATGTTGTGTCCAACATCCTGTGCCCATTTAATCATAGCAGATTTTACCGTTTCATCCTGAGTATTCCATTTTAGCAGCAAGTTATACATTCTTGATAGTGTTTTAGTTTTGGAATCTAGCAGTTCTGTTTCCAACTTTGATTTTTCCACCTGGAAGCCAATTTTTCTATCCAAATTATAGACCTCTCTTATTTGGTAATAATGCAACCAGTCACGCACTCTATCTTTTAGTTTTTCAAAACTCTGCAATTTGAATTTATCTCCTTCTTGTTCCAAGATCTCCCAATATTTTGGCCACTTGGCCTCCATATTGGACTTTTTCAGGGCCTTTGCCTCCATTGGTGATAGCCACCTTGGGGTTTTATTCTCCAATAAGTCTTTATATCTTATCCAGACATTGAACAATGCTTTCCTGACAATATGGTTTTTAAATATTTTGTGAGCTTTAACCTTGTCATACCACAAATATGCATGCCACCCAAACACATTATTGAAACCTTCTAAGTCCAAAACATCAGTATTTTCCAGAAGTAACCAATCCTTCAACCAGCAGAAAGCTGCTGATTCATAATAAAGTTTAAAGTCTGGCAGGGCAAATCCCCCTCTTTAGCATCAGTCAATATTTTAAATTTTATCCTGGGCCTCTTGCCCTGCCAGACAAACTTAGAGATATCTCTCTGCCACTTCTTAAAACAATCCATTTTGTCTATTATTTGTATCGATTGAAACAAAAACAGCATTCTTGGCAATACATTCATCTTGATGACAGCAATTCGACCTAACAAGGAAAGCTTCAAATTTGTCCATATTTCTAAATCCTTTTAATGTCCGACCAACACTTTTCGTAATTGTCTTTAAATAAATTCCCATTTTTAGCTGTCATATGAATCCCCAAGTATTTCACTTTTTTTACCACTGTTAAACCTGTCTCATTCTGAAACCTCTCTTTTTCAATCGGTGTTAAATTCTTCTCAAGTACTTTAGTTTTAAACTTATTCAGCTTAAAACCTGCCACCTGACCAAACTCTTGAATCAGTTCTAATGCTCTTTTCGTACTAGATTCTGGCTCCTGTAATGTCAGTACAAGGTCATCCGCAAATGCTTTCAGTTTGTATTGTTTCGCTCCGACCGTTACACCCTTAATCAAATGGTCCCTTCTTATCATATTTAACAAAACCTCCAGAACAGAAATAAAAGTAATGGGGAAATTGGGCAGCCTTGTCGTGTCCCTTTCTCTATCTTAATTTCCTCTGTTATCACATTATTAACTATTAATTTAGCTTTTTGTTCTGAATAAATTGCATTTATACCATTTTCAAACTCTTGGCCTACCCCCATCCCCTGGAGATTTTTCTTCATAAAACTCCAGGAAATATTATCAAAGGCTTTCTCTGCATCCACAAAAATCAAAACTGCTTTAGTGTTAATCTCCTCTTGCAGCTTCTCCAGAATATCAATTATATTCCTTGTGTTATCCGAAAGATGTCTATCTGGAAGAAAGCCAGCTTGGTCCTTATGAATCACTCCTTTTAACACTTTTTAAGCCTTTTGCTAATTTGTCAGCAAAATTTTTGTAATCCACATTTAACAGGGATATGGGCCGATAGTTCTTAAGCTGTGTCTTTTCAGTCTCAGACTTTGGTATAAGTGTAATAAATGCGTCCTTCCACGACTCTGGCGCTCTTTTCCCCTCTAAAATTTCATTGCAAACCTCAGTTAATGGTCGAATTAGCCAGTCTTTCAAAGTTCTGTAATATTTTGAGGTTAAACCGTCCGGTCCTGGAGATTTTCCCAACTGCATATTCTGAATGGCACCTTCAACCTCCTGTTCTGTAATTTTATAATTCAGCAATATCTTGTTATCCTGAGAAATTTTTTGTAATCCATTGGTTTTCAGAAATTGCTCTATTTCAAATTCTTTCTGAGGCCCTTGTGTGTATAATTGTTTAAAATATCTCTGGAAGCATTTCTGATCTGTCCTGCAGTTTCTTGAGAAATACTGCCGTTTGATGTGCCCCCGCCCTCAAGGCAGCTACTATCTAATTTGAAAACGTAAGCCATGTTCACTTCACAGTTAAGCCGAGGTGTGCACCTTTGAGACAGCCATTGTGCATGCTCATATGATAGCACATGAATAGGATTTGGAGGGGGTTGCAGGCACTGGAAAAGCAAGTGAGTGATGTGCAGTGGGTAAAGACAGCCCTGCCACCTCTCTGGTGTTCACCACAACGTGCAAATGCAATTCTGAAATGAAGCAGGGGAAACAACATTGCCACGTTTTAAACTGCTAATGTGTACATAGCCCTTTAGAAGTGTGTCTCTTCTCTTCTTCTCTCTCAGCTGAAGGAAACCATGCAAGGTTTCACAATGCAAGGTGGTTTTGTTTATTATGCCTATTTATATCAAGTGGACTTTTGTGCAGTCTGTCAAGTCAAAGTACATCCCTGCAAATAAAGGCCTGAAAGGCTGGGGGTTGAGTTGCTCTGCGGCCTTCGTTGTGTTCCCCTCTTAAGCGGTACAGCTTAGACACACTGCCTGGACTGAACTTTTTTAAAGCATTAAAAGTACAAAGAAGGATAAAAAAGGGGGAAAACCCCCTTTAAAAAGCCAAAAATTGCATGAGCAGGGGTTCAGGAATGTATCCCATGACACCGATGAAATATTTGGATAAAAGGCAGCATACAAATGTGAAACATAAATAAATAATCATCTGTGCAGAACAACAACAGAAAAATCACACAAAGAGCAAATATAAAGACAGATGGGGATGTGGCTAACAAATAGAGGTGGTATTTGGAATTCCCTCGGCTGTGCTAAAGCGAGCTGTTGGGCTGGAGTCTGGAGAGAATCAAGCTCACATCCTCACTCAGCCATGAAACTCTCTGAATGGTTTTGGGCCTTGCAGCCTAATTTACCGTACCTTACAAGGTTGCTGCGATGAAAACATTAGGAAAATGGGAGAACCATGTACTCAAGAGTCCCTTGGAGAAAAAGCAGGAATACACATGTAATAAAGCTAAATCAATAGAACCCATTAATGCCAATAATGGCTTTAATCAGGAGTGCTGCTAGGTACTTAAAGGACTCAAGACACAGGTCCAGACACCAATTTGCATACCCTAATTTATATGTTATGGAGGCCTCTGGGAAATTATGGCGGTGGGTGTCTGTTGGGTTTCATCAGTACTGCGCTTTGCAGACTGTCCAGCTGCCTTATAAGCAAATTATTTTTTAAAAGTTTAATTGGGGGAATGGGGGGAGGCAGGAGATCTGAGGTCTGCAACAAAAGACCCAGGGCTTGGGCCCCTTGGCCACTTCCTAACAATGCCTCTGGTTTTATTACCCTAAACTGTGTTATTCCTTGATTTGAACAGACTGGAGGGGCTAGCTATCCATGTGCAGGGAGGTGATGTTGTTGTTGTTTGTTTTGTTGTTCTGTCCAGCAACCCTTCTTCCAGGCTAAGTAGGTATAATCTTAGAAAGACAATATCATGTAGCATTTTTTTCAAAGCTTTGACTCCGTTTCACTTTCAAGGCAATGTTCCTAGAGAACAGGCATCACACAGGGAACATTGTGTCCCGTAATCTTGTCATTTGAAACAGCAAGCTTGGGGATTCCCTTTAGGAATAGGAGAGATTTGATTCAGATCACATTTAAAGCTGAACATATCCAATTCACAGTTTCCAAAACAATACGAGAACCAAAACACACCTATCCTTCAAAGTTTGCTGTTCTCCAACCAACCCATGTGTACAAAAATGGATATATTGGGGGAAAGTGTCCCTAAACATGAATATATTAGTAAAGACTACACACAAAAACACGTTATAATGGGCAAAATTACTTGCAAAAGCAGAGGAAGAATGAAGGCTGGGAGAAGAGCAGAGAGAAGAAACACCAACATTTCGCCGATGAAAATAGGGGCCACAGATCCTAGGGCTTGCCGATCAAAAGGTTGGCCATTTGAATCCCCACGATGGGGTGAGCTCCCGTTGTTCAGTCCCTGCTCCTGCCAACCTAGCAGTTTGAAAGCACCTCAAAGTGCAAGTAGATAAATAGGTACCGCTCTGGCGGGAAGGTAAACGGCATTTCTGTGCACTGCTCTGGTTCACCAGAAGCAGCTTAGGCATGCTGGCCACATGACCCGGAAGCTGTCTACGGACAAACGCCGTCTCCCTCGGCCAGTAAAGCAACCCCTGAGTCGTCCGCGACTGGACTTAACGGTCAGGGGTCCCTTTACCTTGACCATTCCATCTATCATTTCTCCAGTGAAAATAGGGACATCCTAAGGAAAAGTGGGACATTCTAGGATCAATTCAGAAACCTGGGCGGCTGCTCTAAATCAGGGATGTCCCTGGAAAATAGGGACACCTGGGGCGTCTGCCGTGGTACACCTGCATCAGCGCAACCAGATGCCTTCATCTGACACAAGTCCAATAAAACATGTCTTTCCCATGCCCTGCCACAGCAGGTACTGTAACTCTCAAGTGCTTTGACTTTGCTCCTAGGCACACTATTGCCTCTCGAGACAGACAAATGGCAACAATACAAAAATGTGTTTATTAGGAGAAATTAACAGAAAAATGCTGCAAATTTTTCATGAGGTTTCTTGTTTTAAAGAAACATCGCAGAAATGTGGAGAACTGAATTTAAACTTGCAAAATGAGAAAGTGAGAAAACTGAAATGGATAGTTTCCTCCCGGGTAGATGCCCTCACAGATAATCGTATCCTGGAGAGAACAAACAGCAGCAGCCTAAATCTGACTTCTGAGTAAACACGCACAGGATGTACTGTTAAGTCCGTTTATGTGTATCTGGGATACAGATCTGATTTTAAAAGCCAGACTTCCCTGGGCTTTTGGGGGTGGGGGACTAGCTGCTCCCTCTTCCTTGTGTTTCCGATTTGCTTGGCAAGCTGCAATCTCTTTCCCTTAATCCTACAGCTCCCCTACTAGGCAAAGCCCTATAAATAGCCTCCCAGCACACGCCTCCCCCTCCAAACGGAGCCCAGCTGCCGCCGCCGCCGCCATGTTCTCGGGGCTTGGCTTTCCCGGTTCACTCGCGTCAAAACTTCCACCCTGCTGAGGTCACAGCTTCATTTGCATTCCGGAGGGGGGGGAGAGCTCGGCCAATCGGGAGCGTGCGGGCTGGTGACGCCTCGGTTTCCAAGCGTATTAAGAGCCCTGCGCTCAGCCCGAGCCGGTCGAAGCCAACCAGAGGGCTGGGGAGAGCGGCGGACGTGAAGGGAGCCTCCACCAAAGACCATCGTTAAGCAGCAACAGCCGCGGCGGCTTCCGCGGGAAACGGACCGAGCCCAGGCTGCGCTGCCATTGCCTCTTGCCGACCCGCACGTTCTCTTAAAAACAGCCCGGAGCCTTAAAGGGACCGCCCCGACCTCTCCACTAAGCCAGCCATGAGCCAAATCCAGCGCTGGAATGGGAGCTGCGTTAGCAACTGCAGCCGGGCGGACATGGTGCCGGAGATCGCCGCCGCCGTGGGCTTCGTGTCCAGCCTCCTCCGCACCCGCGGCTGCGTTAGCGAGCAGCAGCTTCAGGTTTTCAGCGGGGCCCTGGAAGCGGCGCTCACAGGTGAGAGGACGGAGCCCCCTCCGAAGGATAAGCGGGGATGTCTTTCTCTCTTGGACTCATGGTGGGGTCAGTTTCCTGGGCCAGGTTACTTTTCCCCGTCGCTGAACAAGTGAGGGACACCCACCGGTTTGCTGCGATCTCCTCTTGTCTTTCCTCCCCACCCCCGTCAGTTTTCTAGATGTCAGCATCCCTAGGAAAAATCTTGGGTCACTTAGATCAGGTTATGTCTCTCTTCTCCCTACCCCACCTCCCAAAGCCAAACGCAAAACTTTTTTTTAAAAAAAAAATTCCTCACCTATAGCTGTGTAAAGATGCAGTGGTTGGAGAGAATTACCTCCGCTTCGGTGGGAGACTTTTTTGTTTCTAGCAAAGCATTCTCTAACTGGGTATATCATTGCTGTAAAATAAAAAATTCAGACTGGAAAGCATCAACACAATCTGTTGGCTGTGCTTTCTCCCTTCTCTCTTCCTCTTCCCCTCCCCACGTTAATGTTATGACATCAGACAAAAACTTTTTTGAGCTACAAGGGTGTGGGAGAGGAGAGCTCTTTGTTCTTGTCAAAGAGGAAGCTTGATAGTGGCAGAAGCCACTAGGAAGTTCGTTTTGTGCAATCTTTGCCCCAAAGCACTGGGAGGATCAGAAGGGCATGCTCGTTAATGGGTTCTGTGGAGATCTGAACCCCTTTGTGGAGATCTGAACTCCTGCGAACTACATGGCTTTGTCTGAAGCAACTAGTGTCAATAGTTGTAGAGAATCTTATAGTTAAGTTTGTTCTACAGCTGCTTGAAGTAGAGGCATAATTCTTCTGCCGCAAACTTAATAGCCATGGTGTTTGTGCTTTTTGGATAATTTATTCTCCCGAAGTACAATCTCAGACACACTTACTCAGACGTGTATCTCCACTGAGTTTAATGGGACTAACACTCAAGAGCTGCTAGCAACTGAGTAGCCTCTATTGAGAAGGCTGTCTTAATCACTGCCCCTCTATTGTGTTACTGGATATATAATGCAATTAGAAGGGTTTCCCTAACAAATTAATTATGGGATAGAGCTGTACTGTCAGTTTGGGGTACAGAGGTGAGGATTGCCAGGGATGCATGCTAATGACATTGTCTGCCAAGGAGCTTTAAGTGATTAGTAAAGTACTTTGGCTAATGCATCAGTTAAACCTCCTGGAAACTTTAGTGCTTGGCTTCTAGGTTCCTGGTACTCCTGACCAAAAAAAAAAAAAAAAAGCATCCTTACTGCCAAGCCTCAGAACTTGTCCACAACTATTCCTGTAACTCCCTTTTTATATTCCTCATGGGAAATGATGGTTCAGTTGTCAATGGAAAAAAAAGCCCTATTGAACTCAAAGCAGCTTATTAGAACAAACCTTTTATGGTGCTAGGACTTGGTCTGTGTAAAAGGTTTGCCTTAATGAATTTTTGAAAAGATTGAGAGCATATGGAAGTTGAAATCAGGATGATTGATGTCAGAGTCTGTATCAAACCGAAGGCATAGGATGGGAGCCCAAATAAAACACCAAGCTAGCAGCTGTACATTGCTTTGTGTAAAATGTCTCTTGTGTTTCAACAACTATTCACTGTGATCACTTACCATTCTTGGTGTTTCTTTTTGTGCCCTTGCAGAGCATTATAAACATCACTGGTTTCCTGAGAAACCCTTCAAAGGTTCTGGCTATCGCTGCATCCGTATCAACCATAAAATGGACCCTATCATCAACAAGGCAGCTAGCCAGATTGGACTCAACCTCCAGCAGCTATATCAGCTCCTGCCCAGTGAACTCACACTCTGGGTGGACCCTTATGAGGTATCCTACCGGATTGGTGAGGATGGATCCATCTGTGTTCTATATGAAGCACCTGCAGCACCTGTGAGCTCCTATGGGATGCTCACCTGCAAAAATCAGATGATGCTGGGGCGCACCAGCCCTTCCAAAAGCTACATGATGACAGTCTCCAGCTAAGCACTCCCCGTTGTCCTTACACTGCCAAGACATGGGCTACTGTATACCTCACCTGAGGATGTATTTTTTTAAAAATGAAGAGCTATTTATATTTTTTTTAAAAAGAGAAAATCCAAAATGAAATCAAATAGTAGGCACCACTCTTCCGTGGAGTGGTGTTGAGGTGCCTTTTTAAAAGCTGTTGCAAGCTTGCGAGTCTATTTTAAAAAAAAAAGCCAATATCTACCTAATTGGTGTTGGATGACAATTCTGGAGGGTTGACCTACCTACCTGGGAAATGCAGGGTTGGAAACAAAAGGGGGGTGGGGCAGGGCACAGCACTTTTCAGCAGTGACTAACTATGGGGTAAGTGCTACAACAACTGTGAATCTAAAGGCCAGGATGGTAGTACTTAAGTCATGAACCCTACATGTTGAGATCGGGGTGTCATGGCCTCATTCTAGCTGTGACAGTTTTCCTTAAAAGTCCATTCATTTTTATTAAACTGATATACAAGTTCTGCTTCACCACCAGCTTCACCCACTATCCTAATCTGAGCAATTCCTTCTGCTTTCTCATGGCTTAAAAGCATTTTACTAAAACACAGTCTCAATGATAGCCACTTTCTTTGGTCTATTGGGTGTTGAGTTTCTTAAGTGCCAGCCCATCTTTTTGCACAAAACTTGATTTCTTTCTTTCTGCACCGCATCCTGTACCTCATGCTCATGCAAAATTCCAGTTGGCACCCAAATGTGTGGTTTCTAAAATCATAAGGAGATTTGCTTGGGTAGGAGCACCAGGATCTGGGCTGCATCACTGGCTGGTCACTCTAGCAGTCAGCTCCCATAAAACAAAAAAGTGCAATGGCCAGGCCAATGTGAACTAACCTACCTACTGGGAGATGGCCTTGATCAGGGTTTTATCTGTTCTGATGCCTTTATCTTGACCTTGTAAAATTCCTGACTATGCTGCCAATAACTGCTGAGACGTGATTTCAAAACCAGGGCGCTTAACTTTTTTCTTTTTTTAAAGACCAACGTCTTCAGAGCACAAGGTGTTCTTGGTTTTTCTCTTTGAAGGGATGACTGCTTTGCCATCCCCAGAGCTTTTCCTCCTCTGCCTTTCGTGAATTGAGTTCTCAAGACACTGTGCAATATATTTTCCTAAAATTTGGGCACTCTGGAGGAGGAGAGGCTTCTGAGGGACAGTTTTCTGTTCTCGAAGCAGCTATTAACTTTTCAAAACATTTTCTCACACAACTCTTAAAATGTTTTGTGCTCAAGTGTATGAATGTTTGAACAGGGAAATCTCAGCACTGCAGTGGCATACCATTGAGGGGGTATTGTACAGAATAGGGTTTTTTTAAAGACCACCTTTTTAAAAAGCTGGAACCTGCCAGGAAGTTCTCCTGGGCAACCTCTATTGAAATGGATAGAAGTTTAACAAGAGTGTCAACTACACAGTTCCTATTCATTTCAGTTGGGTTTGCATGGTGGGAACTTCCTTGCACCCCAAATTTTCTAGCAGGTGCATCAGCCCATCTGTGAAATCATTTTAATTTCTTCAGGCTCAATATGTGAAGCTTCTAGTGTTTGAGCATCAGACCCTCCAGTCCATAAATGCAAAGGTTGTAAAGCACTAAGGGTCCCCTGTAAGCTTAAAAGATGTGCTGCCACTCCGTTAGCATACTTGTGCAATATTTGGTAGCATGACAAGGGGAACACTTTCTGCACTGTAGCTTTCCCCCCTCCGAGGAAAGATTCTGTTCAAAGTCTACCTGGGAGGTTTGTTCCTTATCTGGTGCATTGAAAACATGATACGAGTGGGAACTGTAACATGTCCAGGAAAAAATAAGTTGGTTTTGCTACACTCCCTGCCTCCACATGGAATTTCCCTAATGCCAGTACTTGTTTGGCTTGCCAGATTGGCATGATCAATGCAACTCTGTTTAAATGTATCTTAGTAGTTTCCCTTATTCCTTCTTTACCAACGAAGGGTGCTTCTAAAAAAACAAGCTCTTATTCCATCTCCTTTGTTTCCCCCCCCCCTCCCCAACATCTTTGAAGGATTGATTGGGGGAACAGAAAAGGTTACCAAATATCATGCTATTGTACCAGGCATGGAATCTAGTATTAAGATTTTTGTTGTTGTTAGCATTAAGCGAACCAAATTTGGCCAAAATCTGTTTTGTAACGTGCATGTAAAAGCTGTGAATTGATGTATGCTCTTTGTTGCCTTCTGACTACAAGCCTGACACAAACTGTTGCAGTGCTGACTAGCTGTGATTTAGGAACAGCTTATGGGTGTGAGTGTGTGCCCTTTCCTCTCTTTCTTTTCAAAAACGTTTGCAAAACTTGAGCTGGACTGTTGAGCGGGACCTACTTTTCATAATTGGTGAAAATAATACAAAGTTTGTAAGCTATTTTGTGTTGGGGGGATGATTATTGTACAATAGTGTTTTTATATGCAAAATGTACAGATATATTGAAAAATGTACACTTTTGTTACTTTAATAAAAATGTAGCAATTTAAATACGTTGCTGGAAATAATCCGAGGCACTGGCTCATTCTTTGCAATAAGGGGTCCAACCTATCTGGTTCTTAAATAAAGAGCATTGCAACAATGCTGTTCCTACTCAGAGTAGGCCCATTATAGTCAACAGGCATAACTAACTTGGGCTTGTTAGTTTCAATGGGCTAGGGTCCTACTGTGAGTAGGACTTAGTTGATTGACTGCAACACTATGTCTACAATATGATAATTTTGTGTTTGAAAAATACCGTATTTTTTGCACCATAACACTCACTTTTTTCCTCCTAAAAAGTAAGGGGAAATGTCTGTGCGTGTTATGGAGGGAATGCCTACGGGTGGCATGCCTACGGATTTTCCTCCTCTAAAAACTACGTGCGTGTTATGGTCGGGTGCGTGTTATAGAGCGAAAAATACGGTAGCTTATTGGTGATGCAGAAAAAGGATGGGGATCTTGTGGCCCTTCAGATGATGATGGTAATGATAGACCTGCCAATTTCCATCAGCTCCAGCAGAGATGTTGAGAGTGGTAGACCAACAATAGATTCCCCACCCCTGTTATAGAGCTGTCATAGTTTGCTGGTTATATCTCCCATTTTTTTCCTCCATCCTCCTATGGGCCTCTGGTCAAGCTGTTTTTTCAAGACACTGTACCCATATCTCAAACAGTGCTTGGGACCACTAGAAATGCGCAGAAGCAGCCCTAACGGGGATTTATGATGGATTTATAGTTACTGTGTGCCTTCAAGGCAAGGCCTCAGGAGGGGAGGGGAGGGGAGGTCCAGGGCTCTGCTTGGCCAATGAGCAGGATAGCCCCCTCTCACCTCCCCACAGCAGGGCTAACCTGCCACATTTTGAAGTGAAGTAATACATGTGGCTATTGAAAGAAGCGTTTGTGTCGCCTAACTGTGCCAGTAGATAGCATTTTAGGTGGATTATTTGTAGTAAGTACGAAGATGCAATAACGGGATTACTTTAAGGAGTTAGTACATCTGAATCATACACCTCATTCCAAGTGTCCTAGAAACTCTAGGGCTGCTTGTGGATGGTGTCGTCCGAATACCTTGTGCTTTGCGAGGGGAAGAGGCAGCAGGGATGTGGGTAGCAGGTGAATGGGTTGCATTTAGCCAGCTGTGCTTGAGGGTATGCTGTGATGGCTCCCAGGATTAAAGGCACTGCAGAGCCCTTCCAGGTACCAAGGGGACCAGCGGCGTAGCATGGGTTGTCAGCACCCGGGGCAAGGCAAGTAATTTGCGCCCCCTAACCCGGGGCAAGGCAAGTAATTTGCGCCCCCTAACCCCTAACCTGCCGCCGCTGCCAGCTTCTTCTTGCTGCTGCCTGGGCTGGTCTGGTGTGGTTCTCTCCCGCGCTCAGCGCTGCGCTGGGCGGCCGCTGCACTGTCCCTCCCCCAGATAGTCCCTCGCTCTCTCTCCGCACCGCATGCCTGGCACCCACCCCCTCCACAGTGGGCGGCGACCCAGCGGCTCGGATCGGATTCGCACAGCCAGCACTGCAGTGAGAGAGAGTGAGTGAGCCAGGTAGGGGCAGAGAGCTGCGAGTGCGAGCGCCCCCCCCCAGATGTTGCGGCCGGCCCCCCCTGCACCCCCCACGCTACGCCACTGAAGGGGACAAGTGATACTGGCAAGGAAACAGCTCTGCAAGGTTGTGTTCCCAAATGCAGAACAGGTGCTGACTGCTTCCCATAAATAATGATGATGGTGATGATGATGATGATGGTAAATGAAATGTGCCAGTTGTTACACTAGACATGATCTCAAAATACAGTTGCTTTCCAAGTGATCTGACTTCTGCCTTGCAAGGACTGCCTGTATTGCGATCTGTCCCCAGTTTGCCAAGTCTTAAAGGGTTTTATGGCAGTCCCTGGAGTTTGGTTCCCCATCCCTTGGCCAAGCTACTATGATCTCTACCTTTTTAATAATTTTTTAAATTAATTTCCATTTCCCCACATGTTAAAACAACATAACTTGCAACAAACACGTCAACCTCATTGCTTAAAAATACCACTTTTTTACAGTTCACTCCAATAAAATCTTTCCACATATTATCTTTACATTTTAACTTGTACTGAGATTTTTTTTAAAAGCACAGTGCTCTAATGGAGTGTTTTGAGGGGACAGATTGGGCTTTTTAACAAAACAAAACAAAACAAAACAAAACAAAACAAAACAGTTGGGAGAAGCTGCATTTCCCTAATCAGTTGTCAAGGAAATGACAGGCAGGAGTCTATGTTTAATGCCATCCTTCATGACTCTGACTTCCTTGCCAAGGTTATGCAATTTCAAAGTAATTGGCTGAGAAAAGGCTGGGACATCGTTCTCCAGAAATAGCAATTCCAAGAACACAGTATGAAATGAAAAGAATATTGGATGCCCAGTTCTAGTAGCATAAAAGAAAGCAAAGCTTTTGTCCCACTTTAATAAGGATCTTATTCTTTCAGGTCATATTTCTCTTGTGCATTAGATTATTCAACTAAGTGAGTTCTGGCACATTTCAGGGTGTTCTGAATTTGATCCAGAAGAGCAAAGGCAAGTTGGACTTACCTCAGAATCTAATTGCACCCTTAAAGCAAAAGTAATCTCAATCTCTGGACTTTGGATAATAAAACTGAACCAAAATAAAATCATATTAACAGTTGCACCTGTCTTGGGACAATAGATAACAGTGTGTGATTGTAAAATGGCAAATGCATTACAAGATTAAAGCAGGCACGAGCAGAAGAATCTAAATGTGTGTATGCGTGCTTCAATATTTATACCTTTATTAAAATATGACCATACAGTATTGAAAATAAACATTTATCTAGATCTGCCATTACTATATTAGATATATACATTCTAGCCTCTTGTAAAAGTCAATTTGATCACACCAATGATATCTTATAGTCCTTACAACATAACCAGTATTCAGCCACTGGTGGATTTGGATTTTTTCATTTGTATGCTAATTCTTTTCTTGTAGCCATGAAGAAGGTTTGCTGTCTGGATCCTGTATCAGTAATCTGTGTGATTCCTTTCAGATAGCACAATAATAGCACCAAAGGATCTATTTAACGTGAATTTAGTGCAATATCCAGTCAGTAGCATTTGTACAATGCTGAGTCCTGAGATCCTGTGCTTAAACCACTTTGCCTGGGAAAGTTTGTGCCAACTCACCTTCATTTTATAATGTACAAACATGCGAGTAAACAAAAACCACCTATTAACATTAGCAATCTGGCATGATGCCTAGGGGGAGCCTGTTGTCCTCCTGTGTTTTTGCCATCTCTTTCTGACTTGTTCAGTTAATTTTTGCCATGATTTGTTGTGGTACAAATAACACATTGCTTGGTGAAACTTTGGGGTTTTGATCCATGTTGCTGTTTTATTATTATTATTTTTTTAAAAATGATATTTATTAAAATTTCAAAAACAAAAAATTACATAGTTAAAAAGAAAAGAGACAAGGAAAAATATATTTAAAAAGAGGAAAAAAATACAAAATACAAAGTACAGAAAAAATAAATAAAAAAGAAACACTTAAAAACAAATTAATCCTTCCATATCTTACATTTCATTTCCTTGCTTCTCTGACCTCCTCTCACCTCTCTTTTCTGTATTCCAGTTCAATTGGTTAACTCAGCAATTTCTTTCCCTCTTTGTTTATATCTTAGTCCTTTAACTTAATATTTTATAACTTTAGATTCTCTCCTATTAACCCCATTTTTACATACACCTTTATGGCATTGCTACTAGAACCACTTAATTTCATTCTAGCATCATATAACATTCATTAATTTTACAGTATTTCTGTAAATAGTCTTTAAATTTCTTCCAATCTTCTTCCACTGACTCTTCTCCCTGGTCTCGGATCCTGCCAGTCATTTCCGCCAATTCCATGTAGTCCATCACCTTCATCTGCCATTATTATTAGGGTTGTATTTGCCCCAGAAAATGAAGGCCCATTGTACCATAAAGGTAAAGGTAAAGGGACCCCTGACCATTAGGTCCAGTCGTGGCCGACTCTGGGGTTGCAGCGCTCATCTCGCTTTATTGGCCGAGGGAGCTTCCGGGTCATGTGGCCAGCATGACTAAGCCGCTTCTGGCGAACCAGAACAGCGCACGGAAACGCCGTTTACCTTCCCGCCAGAGCGGTACGTATTTATCTGTGCTTTCAAACTGCTAGGTTGGCAGGAGCAGGGACCGAGCAAAGGGAGCTCACCCCATCGCGGGGATTCGAACCGACAACCTTCTGATCAGCAAGTCCTAGGATCTGTGGTTTAACCCACAGTGCCACCCGCGTCCCATAAACTTGAGCTAATCGCTCTCACACAAACCATGTTGGCACAGTACTGTTAGCATCATGCATATTTGCAGCAATTTAGCTCTTCAAAGGGGGGGTGGGGGGAATAAAAGCTCTTTTTAATGCTCTCCACTTCCACATATGCAGGTATTTGAAAGATCCTGAGCTTGTAAGAGAGCTTTTAAAATAGTGGCTGATTACTAAGCAATCATGTAGATTCCAGAACTCTATTTAGAATGAGATGCACACCCTCCAATTGACCCAAGTGCCTGATATAAATGCTATGTTTGGGAGAAGTTTCTCAGGTGATGAGATGATTCACCATCATTTACATTGAGTCACTGGCAATCAAGATGACAAAAAAGATTGCAGCTATATTATTATTATTGCTGTTGGTGCATGGTTAATTGCGTCTGCACAACAATCACCATGATACCACGACTCTTTAATAAATAACAACATTTAATTCGCCAGTGGTTGTGTTTCAGCTGGCATAAGAGTCTTTATCTTTGGATGGAACTTTGAAACTCTGCATTTGTGAGCATTTTAAGGATAATTGGTTGTTGTTTTGCTATTGCTCTTCTAAGTGCACCCCAATGCTAAACCAATTGCAGTGCTCTGGGGATGTCAGTGGCAGAAGGCCTTCTCAGCAGTGGTGCCCTCCCTGTGAAACGCCCTCCCATCAGAAGTCAAGGAGATAAAGAACTACGCAACCTTTAGAACACATCTGAAGGTAGCCCTGTATCAGGAAGTTTTTAAGGTTTGACATTTTACTATGTTTTTATATGTGCTGTAAGCCGCCCAGAGTGGATGGGGAAACCCAGCCAGATGGGTGAGGTATTATTACAGTCGTACCTTGGAAGTCAAACAGCTTAGTTCCTGAATGTTTTGGCTCCTGAACGTCGCAAATCCAGAAGTGTCTGTTCCAGTTTGCGAAAGTTCTTTGGAACCTGAATGTCCAACGGGGCTTCTGTGGCTTCTGATTGGCTGCAGGAGCAATGCTTTGGTTTTTGAACATTTTGGAAGTCAAACGGACTTCTGGAACGGATTCCATTCGACTTCCGAGGTATGACTGTATTATTATTATTATTGAAATCAAAGCAGTGATACTCAGGTTGATTTCTTTTTCCCTGCATTGCTGTGTACGTAAAGTCCACTGGGATTCTCAGAACCTGTTCAGGTTAGCCCATACTGTATGAGCACAATCCAGAGCCACTGATTCAGTGGGAGTTTTCCAGTCGACTTTAATGAGGTGTGGATTGCATCCTGAATTTATCTCCCCACCCACAAACCTGAATCAATGGCTTAACCTGGAATCAATGGGAGTTGTCTCCCAGAGCTCCTCCCAGCAGCGAGGTAACCTACTTCCATGGAGCCTGGCAAACAGGCTTAGCAATTATGTTAAGCGCCAGCCCTCAATCTTTACTTACTACTCAGGATTTTCCTGGTCATCTTGATAGCGAGTCTCTTCCTCCACAAGGCCTTTATTCTGTGTGCAGCTTACTTTTACCACGTGTTGAAAGCCAAAGTATTCCTTTCCCATCCTTTTTTTCAGTGAAGGAGCAAGCAGAAGATGCTAGCTAGCTCTTTTATGGTCAAGATGCAACATCAGTTTCCTGGTCCAGCAGACTTCCTGTGTGACCTGCAACAGTAGTTATCACACCATTGGTATCCCTGCTTGTGTCGCAGACTCCTTTCAGGTATGTTTATATGACCAAGCACTATGGTAGTTAACGTAGGTAATAAAATAATTACAGTGCTGAATGGGTCTGTGTCCCCAGTACCAAAAGGTATTTGTAGGTTGCTAGTAGCAAGCATATGCCACAACCAACACCGCTTCCCAGCCAGTGGGCTTTTAAATGAGAGCCAATATGGTGTAGTGGTTAGAATGTCAGCCTAGGCCTGAGGAAACAAGAATTAAAATCTCTATTAAGCCATGAAGCTCCTTGAGTAACCTTGGGCCAGTCATTGCCATCACTCATTACAGACTGTACTGCCCTAGATGGGCCAATGATCTGACCTGGAATAAGGCAGCTTCCTAAGTTCAATTAAGAGAAAGAGGCAGGGTGACCCACTCTTGTTGCTCTGAATTCCTTGGAGGAAGGACAGGATGTGCATGCGATAAATGAACGATTATTATTTATCTCTTTGAAAATGGGAAAGCTTTGTTAAGTGCTTGAGCCTTGGAAAAACTCAGATCCTGTAATGAGATCTGTACAAAACTAAAATAAAAAAGTTATAATGTGTATTGCAATATGAAAATGGATATTTAGGGTATTTAAACTCTCAATTCTTTTTTTTCTTCTTTTCTTTTTAAATGTATCTCTTGCTAATCAGTTGTTTTTTAAAAAAAATTCTGTGATTAGGAATATTGCACATTCCTTCCTGTCAGGATTCATCTTGAATGGCCTTAGAAGGAAAGCACCATAATACAAATGAAATTGCTATGTGAAATGTGTGTCATGTGGTGGCTGTCATGTCATGTGGAGTATTTTAGGCCAGATACAGGTGGTGTTTCAGGGTTGCATCATGCATATTTGTTTGTTTGTTTGTTTGTTAAACTTGCCTCCTACGCTTCTACCAATCGTTGCTCAAAGTGGCACAGAGCAAGAATGCAAATGCAATAAAATAAAATAAAATAAAATATACATAGGCATACAATGGAGTGGGTGAGGGGAAGCTACTCTTGTATTTTGCTTAACAGAGAATACACACAAGATATCGCATGTTCACCCAATGCATGGTTAAGTTGTGTACACCTGCTGCCCTTGACTTGTCTGTTGGTCACACACTCCACTATCCATGTGTTCCTTTTCAGCTCTCTGAAAGGCATGCATGTACAGCTCTTCTG